CAGCAGGGAACAGCCCAGGGAGGGCTTTCCCAAAGGCTCAGCTCGCTCCGGGCTCGTGCTCCAGCTTTGTCCCCACTTCCACCAGCCTCCCGGTCACTCAAGAGCAGACTCGGGGATAGAGCTCAGGGGGGATCCCACAGGTAGGGAGGAGGCAAGAGGCGACCGTGAGACCCCTGCTTGGTGCCTGAGCTGCCAGGGGGGATCCCACAGGTGGGGAGGAGGCAAGAGGCGACTGTGAGACCCCTGCTTGGTGCCTGAGCTGCCCTGGCAGTGAGAGCATCCCTCGCATGGTGTGGCTTCTCCGGTGTGTAATAGAGGCTGAGTACACACCACAAGCGTGCCCTTTCCTTAGGAGATGGGGGGGCATCTCTGGGGGATGTCTCTCCCTTCTCCTGAGCTGCCTCTTTGCACAAAATGTGTAGGAGGGTCCTGCCTTGGAGACCTGTAACCCTGAGCCATTGGGAAGGAAAAGCTGGAAACCAGCTGGAAACCCAGGACACAAGAACCGTCTGCTGGGCTGGTACTGGGGGTCCTGGGCAGGGCGTGGGGAGCAGCTGGGTGGGAGGTGCTGGCTGGAGGAGAGCTGAACAATGGGGCCAGGCTGAGTGCCAGGAGGTCCCCCAGGACCGGGTCCAAATACTGTCCTGGACTGGAGGTGGGTTTGGCATCATGGGGCTCTCCCTGGGGATCACTGCCTTTCTCCAACCGGTACCAATACTTCAGCCTTTCCCAGGAGGCCCAGGAGACTTTTTCCAGCAGACCTGCTGAGAGCAGGGCTTGGAGGAATGACCAGCCCTTCCTGCCCCATTTGTTGGCCTCTCCTGCCCCACGCAGCTTGCAATGGGTCAGGCAGCACCAGCCCAGGGCTCTGCTGGCAGTGCTGCTCCCACCAAGGGTTACGGAGAACCGCCCGTGCTCAGCTCGGGGAAACCAGCAGGCAGGACGCCACTAGCCCAAGGTTAGACTTGCTTCAGCTGGACCTTTTCTTAGCTTTTCATCTCCAAGCAGCAGGTGCCAGAGGCAGGGCCGTGGCAGGGAGGTCTGAGACAAGCCAGTGCTTGTGCATGCTCCAAAGGGTGTATTTTAGAGCAGCCCCAAGCTGCCCTAATACCCAGAGTTTGCCTCGCAGCACGCAATCCCTGAGCGATGCACAAGGGACAGTACAAGGGACAACAGGGAGCATCCCCCCTACAGGACCAAGGAGGGTGGGGGTGCCAAGATCTGACCCCGTAGGCTGTCACAGCCACACATCCCCTGCACCCACACCCCAGGGTGAAGCACCCCACGCCAGTGAGCCCACAGGGCTGTGTGTGGCCACGGGGCTGGCAGACCAAAGGCCACAGTGGTGGGCAGAGCAGCTGGATGCCAGCTCCCCTCCAACCATGGGGACAAGGCTCTTCCACCTGCCGGGAAAAGGTTATTTTCACGGTGCCTCCCCACAGGAACTGACATAAATTGTTTAAATGGCTGCAGTGCTCAGAGAGCCAAGCTACACACAGGGAGGGGAGAGCACAGGGGACTTTTTTAATAACTAGCAAGGGGAGCTATTAAAGTGTTTTACTGCCTCGTTAAGACAGCCTAATCTCTGTGTATATCTTAAAAAAAAAAATTGGCTTGCTGGTGTTTTTATTGTACCAGAGGTGGGTGTTTTCTGGCACTGGCTGTGATCCTGCCTGCTTTCTCTGCTTGTTTTCTTACCTGATACGGCGCTGAACAGCCCAAGAACAACCCAAGGGCAGCAGCAGGCAGGGCCAGGCAGCCCGCTCCTCCCGGGCAGTGGCGTGGAGAGGCTGCGGATCCATGTTGCAGGCTGTTTCCCACCCATGGGTGCTCTGCATCCCACTGCTGCACCCACCTTTCAGCAAGACAGAGGTCCCCAGGGTGCTTCCCCAGGGCAGGTTTGGGTCTGCATGTGCCTGGGCAAAGCCCGGAGGTGGGTCACCCCTTGTGCAGGCAGCCCATAGACAGGGCAGGGGGTGGCAGGAAAACTGTGAGGGCTCATCCACCCCTCCAGCTGGGATTTGGGGGATACACAGATTTCAGAGCTATGGGCAACTTAGACTCCTATAAGCTGGGCTGAAGGGTCTGTGCCCCAGGGAGTCCCAGCAAAGGCTCCCCAGGGACCCTGCGGCCATACAGCGCCATCCGACTGCTGGGGTCTAGTTTTGGAAGAGGAAGGGCTGGGCGTTTTTTTCTAAGTTTTTCTTCATTTTGTTTTCTTTTTTACCTCAGCCCAGCAGAAAATGGGGAAATCCTGCCGAGTCCTGCTGGCTCCAGCATCCACCTCTCCATCTGCAAAAGCTCACGGTTTTGAAGCCAGGAGCCGGAACGGATGCTGAGGCTGGGATGGCAGGGCTGGATAAGCCACTTGCGTTTGCTTTGGAAAGGCTGATGTTTGCATGAGCACCGGCTCCAGTGGTTTGGAAGGGACCCACCCAGTTGCAAATCCCAGCAGCCTGAAATCAGA